CCGAGCTATCGCAGGAGCAAGCAACTGTTAGCCTGTCTAGTCTACAGCTATCGACGGAAAGGAGCGGTATCGCTTCATGTTTACGTAACCTCTAAACTATGCTATATTTTTTTCTACTCTGTGTATATATTATATATTGTTGTATTACTAGGTATATATATACATACATACATACACCTAGTATATGCAGTGTATGCCTGTCGCTCCTGTATAAGCACAACACTAATGTCTGTGTCATTATGCAACTGGTTACTGTTAATCGTGATGCATATTACGGAGCATCCGCTTACTGTTTTTCTTCTCCCCCAAACCCCGTCCCGCCCAACGATCCCACAAATTTTCGTGTCGCGCCCCTCATCGCGAGACGCACCGGACGACGGACGACGAAGAAGAGAAGAAGAAGCAAGAGGCCGGTCCGGCGGAGGAGGGAGAGCGAGGAGGTAGGTGGAGACAGTGAGGAGGAGGGCGTGCGATGGGGGCGGCTCGACGAACCGGAACCATACTCCGTGCAGCAGGAACAGCAGCAGCAGCAGCCATCGCTGCCGCCGGCATCCGGGCTGGCCTGGGCGCGGGCGGGGTCGTCGCTTGCGGGCGACGGGTCGGGGGCGTCTGCGGCGACGCTCGGGCTCGCTACGACACTCGCGGGGCGAAGAGGCGCACCGGCGGAGGCGGGCGTCGGGAGAGTCGGCGAGCAAGCGCAGTCGGCTGACGCGCAGCGGCGAAGTTGGAGCGGTGGAGAACTTGTGGTGGCGCCGCCGCGCAGGTGGCGGTGGCGTGGATGATGATGTGACGATGCGGCACGTTGGTGCGCGCTGGCTCTGGGGCGCTGCCGCCGGCCAGCCCGGCGCAGTGGCGCCGCCGAGGAAAGGCCTCCGATGTCGCACGTTCATGAGATACAGCCGGAAGGTAGGCGTGCGTGCGTGCGTGCGTGCGTGGGTGGGTGGGTGGTTGTGTGCATTGGGTTAGTACATGCATGCGTGCGTGAGTGGGTTGGTTCATGTGTGCGTGCGTGGGTGGGGTGGTTGGTACACGCATGCGTGCGTGAGTGGGTTGGTGCATGTGTGCGTGAGTGGGTGGGTTAGTGTGTGCCCGCGAGCATGGGTGGGTGCGTGGCTGGCTGGGTACACGCATGCGTGCGTGAGTGGGTTGGTGCATCTGTGCGTGCGTGGGTGGGTTGGTGTGTGCCCGTGAGCATTGGTGGGTGCGTGGCTGGTTGCGTGCGTGGGTGCGTGGCTGGGTACATGCATGCGTGCGTGAGTGGGTTGGTGCATTTGTGCGTGCGTGGGTGGGTTGGTGTGTGCACGCGAGCATGGGTTGGTGGGTGCGTGGCTGGGTGCTGCGTGGGTGGGTCAGAGATGCCAACCACTACGATTTATCTGTATTTTATACGAATTTCTATTACTTTTGCACCACTACGACCAGTTTGTATCAAACTACGAATTTCACTGTGATCGAAAAAAAAAATTTGTTGTCAATTATTGTCATTTTTTGTCAATTTATTGTCATTTTTGACCCTCAGAATGCAGGAAATTGCATCTCAGAATCAAAAATTTTTCCGGAGGGCATGCCGAACCCCCCTAGCAAACCCCCTAGGGTGATTACGTGACCCTCGAACTACTAATTTGATGGCCAGAAACTACAGATTGCTTCAAATATGTGTTGGCATCTCTGGCACTGGGTATGTGCGTGAGTGGGTTGGTGCATGTGTGAGCGTGCGTACATGCATGCATACATGCAGGGGCGGATTAAGGCTCACTGGTGCCCTAAGCACTGACCAATCTTGGTGCCCCCCTCCTTTCCACACTGACCCAGTCCATTTTAGTTGTTGACCTGTCTGACCAAATATACAATGCAGGTTAAATTGCAGCAGTACAAAAAATTTATGTAGGATTTAAAGGAGGTTGGTGATAAACAGGCGGGGGTATGGGGGTCCTTCCCCAGAAATTTTTTAAAATGTAGATCGCAGGAGATGGTATTTGAGGCAATTTTGAGCGTACATGCATGTACAACTTCATTCTGACTACGAGTCAATCTATTTGGTTTTTTTTACACGTTGCAGTTGTGAGAAAGACCTCTCTGTTGTGCAGTTGGTGACCATTAATGTTAAAAATATTCTTAAGGCAATTTCAACATTTCGAAAAGCACTCTCTAGTTTGTCTTCTGTAATTGTGTTGTAAAGTTCCATGTGAGTGAAAAATGTTTTCTTGGTTGTTTTAAACTTATGAAGAACATATAAATGGAACTGCTGAAGCTCTGTAGACAAAGTGTTGTTCATGTCATCTGGATAAGCATCAATGAGTGTCTGCCAAGTCTTTGAGTACCTTTCACTTTCTGATAATTGGGAATTAGCACCTTGTTGGGTGGCATTAGGGGCCCCTTGTATTGTATTTCACACACACACACACACACACACACACACACACACAGCCAATAACCGACGTCCCACCTGGGGGAATTGGTTTGAACTGCAAAGCCGAAGAGCCCTATTCTCTCGCGCACACATACACGCTCATGCGCGCACGCACGTAGCACATGGACACGTGTCACCCGAGCACACAAGCGCGGCGGTGTTGCATCACCAATCTGTTCCAAGTTCGTACCTATTACGTATCTTGAAAATGTGTTTAAAGATTATTTCTACTTACAATTTTGATTTACCTAATGCATCGGATCAATAATCTAATCGGATCTGCCCGGCGTAACCGTTAAACAGCATCTTTTGTTGCGACGCGATGAGTTAAAAATTTATCAACGCCACGGTTTAAACAGAAACGGCAAATATCCAACACACACACATTAGCAACGGAGAGGGTGAGGGTGCGGATCTCTCCTTCTTCCTTCCTCTCTCTCTCTCTCTCTCCCCCCTTTCTTGCTTACTCTCTCTCACCCTCTCTTTCTCTTTCTCTCTCTCTCCTTCTCTCTCGCCCTCTCTCTCTCTCTCGTGCTCGTGCGGCTCTGCGAAATGTACTGCTCTCCCTATCCCTCACCATTCCCCCCATCTCTCTCTCGCGCGCCAGGTGAATTATACATATACGGGCGTCTACAGGGGGGAATTGAGACACAGTATCACATCTGGCTTCGATGATTGAGCTCTAATGAGAGAGGTACACGTGACAGCCATGACCCTAATATATCACGAAGGACAAACTCGTCGTAGTGTTGTATGGATGAGGAGAAAGGCGGGGATGCTGCACATATGGGATGGTTGGCGTATGTATGGATAGGTATTACGTTCTTGCTAAATGCCAAGTTAAGTAAATCAGTTACATTATGCTCTGTAAACACAATGTTAAAAGAAATAATTTTCCCAATAGAAAATAGATAAAACATATTAGTCACGTTGTCCAGCCCCACGTTGCCCATATGTAGATTACATACACAGTACATAAAATTAAATTTTTCATATTTCATAATTTCAGGAGTAGATAATAGGGGATTAATAGGGAATTAGTAGATAATAGGGAATTCCCTATTATCTACTCCTGATAATTTCAATTTTATATAAAATGTGTATTCTACGCCAAAAATAATATATAAACTAAATTAACATTTAATTAATTCGATTATAAAATCATTCTGCATCTTACTCACTGTTGGGTAGAGGTGGAGCGAGTGTGTGCATGTACATATATGGTGGATAGAGAAAATGAAGAGGGTAGGAAATCAATCGGATGTAGAAGGGGCTACCCTTCCGACGCTGAGTTTGGGATTACCCATTAGCTGCTATTTGCTCTTACTGTTATTAACCTCCCAGCGAGAATGCCGAAGGCATGGATATCTAATTATCTAAATAGTAGCAACGATATAACGAGGGTTGGAAAGTTGTAGTCGGGGCAACGCTAGACGAGCAGAGCAGCTACACACACACACACACACACACACACACACACACACACACACACACACACACACACACACACACACACTCGCTCCCACACGACAGGTCTCATCATCTCGTGGAACCTGCGCGTCGAGGACAGCCACCTGCCGATCGCCGGCTACCAGCTGTACGCGAGCAAGCAGGGCAGCCTCGTGCCGCCGTCCGTCGAGGCGTGGCGCCTTGTCTCGCGCGTCGACGCCCTGCCGCTGCCGATGGCGTGCGCTGTCAGCCACGGTCGCACGAACAGCCGCTACTACTTCGCCGTGCGAGCGCTCGATACGCGCGGACGCTGCGGCCCCTTCTCGCGGCCCTACTGCGTCGAGTACTCGCTCAAGTGAGGCCGGCTGGACGTCTAGGGATCGAGAGAGAGAGGGGAGCGGGGAGCGAGGCAAGGACCATTCTCGCGGCCCTACTGCGTCGAGTACTCGCTCTAGTGAGGCCGGCTGGACGTCTAGGGATTGAGAGAGAGGGGGAGCGGGGAGCGAGGCAAGGACCGTTCTCGCGGCCCTACTGCGTCGAATACTCGCTCAAGTGAGGCCGGCTGGACGTCTAGGGATCGAGAGAGAGAGAGGGGAGCGGGGAGCGAGGCAAGGACCGTTCTCGCGACCCTACTGCGTTGAATACTCGCTCAAGTGAGGCCGGCTGGACATCTAGGGATTGAGAGAGAGGGGGAGCGGGGAGCGAGGCAAGGACCGTTCTCGCGGCCCTACTGCGTCGAATACTCGCTCTTTATTTGCGCGATAATCGAAAACCAAAATGGCGATCATTTAGGCGTAGCCCCATCTCTCGCGCAGATTTCAGACTTTCAGATCTGAAACATTTATTTTCGCATCAAAACTAACCCTGAAACAAAACAGTAAAATTAGTATAAAACAGGGAATAAGGACTTTTGATCACATTTCGGTACGTCATAAATGAAACACATACCAAATTTTAAAAACCATCTCCCTCTTCTATCACACCCAAGGTGAGCTATAGTGTCATCGACACTTTTATTGTTTTTGTTCTCGTAACTTTATGATGTTTCCGTCAACGGTCTACGCGTCTACGAAGTCAATGTTGAGTATAATGTCGATACTGATTTTGTTTCTGACGACGGCCCCCAGTGCTGCGGAAGGAGATGAAGCCGAACGCTGCCAGGGCGGAGCAACCGGCAGCGGGAGCAGGGACTGCTCCGGCCGCCGCCGCTCTCCGCATGATCATCAAGAGGAAACGCGGCAGACCGCGCAAGTATCTGTACTTCGCCGACGAACACGTAGGCGGCGCCACCGACGAGGGGCGCGCGTCGCGGCGCGATTCCGAGCTATCGCAGGAGCAACGCACTGTTAGCCCGTCTAGATCTACAGCTATCGTGGAAGGAGGTAGTTCATGTTACGTAACCTCTAAGACTATGTATATTTTACTCTGTGTATATATATATATATTACTATGTATTACTAGGTATATATATACATACATACATACACCTAGTATATGCAGTGTATGCCTGTCGCTCTGTATAAGCACAACACATAATGTGTCATTAACAACTGTTACTGTTAATCGTGATGCATATTACGGAGCATCCGCTTGCTGTTTTCTTCTCTCCCCAACCCCGTCCCGCAACGATCCCACAAATTTTCGTGTCGGCCTTCAGGCGAGACGACCGACGACGACGATTCCTCCTCTTCCTCCTCCTTCGCCTCCTCCTCCTCCTCCTCGTCTTCCTCCTCCTCCTCCTCTTCCTCCTCCTCCGCCTCCTTCGCTTTCTACTCCTAATCCCTCTTTCTCTCTCTTCATGTATCTGTTTCTGTCGCATGCATGCTACCTCGCGCCCCTTCTCCATCTCTATTTCTCTCTTCCCTGGATTCTGCTACAGCCATCGATTTTTTTCACAAGCGATTTATCACGCTCATGTCAAGAAATGCGACGCGATGACAAAGTGACAATAACACTTATAGAGTGAACATCCTGAACACAAAGTAAAATTTTCTGCCTTCTTAGGTTTCAATAGATCCGCGCAGTTCGGTTACCTCTATAGCAGAGATAAACACGAGCCAGAAAGAAAAACGCTGATTCATCCATTACGCTTGCAGGGTATTGACACGATCTCTGAGTGCGTTCATAAAGGAATCCCATGACCTCGACATGCAGACGGAGCGAAGGATATTCGCTACGATGACTCGATGTTATAGCGACATCGGCTCTCTGCCGGTAGATAGGATGTAATCGGTGTCAAGTTTCAAGCCTTGAGCAAACTAGCTGGGAGTGCTTTCGCGTTAAAAAGCAGACGTTATCATTATATATTCGATTTATTTACAAACCACAATAAGATTCTCGTGGAGATGCCATTGGTACATTGTAAGCCGTTGCTTATATTGTGTTAGAAGCAAGTACTATTGCGCTATATTGTGATATATACGTAGTAATATTGCGTTATATTGAGTTACATTTTCCTACTTTTCTCGCACGACCGAAGTTCCATTATTTGATGTAGACAAGACGACATGGGATCATATCTGACAAATATTCACCCCAGGTTGCGAAACCCATATTGGCTGTGTTATCAAATGATTGCTATTTGTTTGAGAATTGTCACACATTATTTGCTTGTTATTGTGTGTTGATCTCGTATCTTTTATATATCCGATGTTTCCAGGTAGCGTTCGTATTAGACGTTTCTGCGTTCGAATGACTCATCAAATTCCTTCCACAATATGGACAAACTCTGCTTGCGAAATCTACATAATACTAATGGATGCAAATTGAATACCTTGTTAAATATGTGTGTTGTGTGTGACGTATTATGTTCAGGAATACGCACCACAGCACTACCCGCGTAATTCACTCACACAACAACTACATCTCCCCATGTAGACATGCTATGTTGAAATCACGCGAACGCAGATTAAGCTGAACAGTCGGGCAGGTGGGAATGCGACGGTCCTAGGAGAGGCGAGCAGGAAGCTCGAGATCTATCGTCAACCAATCGATCTGCCGTTGATCGACTAACAGATACACACACACTCACGCGCACACACGCGCGCACACACGCGCGCACACACTCATGCGCGCGCACACACACACACACGTACGCATTGTTCGAATTTTTAATACATGTAAATCATATTCATGTTGCAGTTCGAAATTTCGAATGGCGTCCTTCTTGTTTCTGATTCGCAGGTACGAGAATAAATCCACTGCTGTTATGGCCGCGTCTAGAACCGATCAACGTGCTGATGGTGACCAGTGGACGTCAAACGTTAATGGACGTGCGTCCCCCAGTAAGCAGCCGGCGTCGGTCTTCGATCAGGCTGCGTCGTCTAGCGCTGAAGTGTTGACTATTGACCAACTCGAATCGAGTGTCGACGAACAGGTGTCGCGCATCGATAACTCTTCATCTGCCAGCGAAGAAACGCTGTCGGCCAGCGAACGACTCACGTCGTGTACTGACGAACAAATAGTGACCATTGATCGTCGTGCCTTGTCGGACGGCGACAAACAAAACTCCGTTGAAGAACTTTCGTCTGCTGAAGATGAGCGTGTGTCGACTGTTCGCCAAGTAGAATCGACGATCGATGAAGAAATGTTAACTATCGATCACGATGCGTCGACGAGTGACGAACGCATGTTAGGTATTGGATCGGCTCGTATTGAATGGAGAGCAGGGCTCTGCAGTTTTCCACGTATGCACCTAGCTGCTATCAGTGCAGAACCTAGCTGCTATCAGTGCAGAACCTAGCTGCTATCAGTGCAGAACCTAGCTGTGGTGAAGCCTGGATGAGTATAGGGCCAAGCTGGTATGGCATCACAACTGGCCAGCAAGCAAATAGCCGTTTGTTTTAAAGAAATCGTACACTTACAAGATATTGACGGGAAGGTCCTGTAGGGGGCGTTACTAACATTGCTCTCTTCGTTCATTCGCTGAATATCGTGTTCATTTTGTGTCATCTGCTTTCTCGTTTTTTTTTTATCTTAGATGATAATGTACCCGACGAATCGTCGTGCATATCTGATAAGCCTCTGACACCTTACCTCAAATTCAGCACGGAGGTACGTACGTAACTGCGTTGACAGCTTTCCGGTGAATAAATACTCGAATGTTTTTTGAATGACGTGTGCAAGCATCTGTCTTTCCTTATTTGCTAAGCTTTGTCGCGCCGCGTTTGCATGTGCCGAACCTCGCACTTACGGTCCGTTCGTTCTGCATTGCCGCGACACGATGCGTAGGTCCTGGATAGTGTGAAGGAGCAGTACCCACACTACAAGATGGTCCTTGTTCTCGACCGGATACGAACGATGTGGGAGGAGCTTACGCCGGTTCAGAAGCTGGTCTACTACGAAGAGAGTGGCGTGGAGGCGGAGAAGGTACAAGCGTTTCCTCGTGCGACGGAACGCTCTGAGCGAGACAGATGAGTTTCGAGCGGATGATGCGTGTATCGTATCGCTTACGTACTACTTAGTATTTCCGATTGCGCTTGCGATTTGTTTTGCCAAGGACAGTGAAGGACTCGTGTTTTATGACAGTATATGTTTCATCGTATGGCAGTGTATGGCAAGACGTTCAGCGTGTGAGAGAGGTATTGAGCGGGTGTCTGACGTATGAATCATCGGTGATGTACTTAGTATTTCCGATTGCGCTGATTTGTTTTGCCGAGTACTTGTGTTTTACGGAGATATTTGTTTCATCGTGTGACAAGACGTTCAGCGTGTGAGAGAGGTATTGAGCGGGTGTCTGACGTATGAATCATCGGTGATGTACTTAGTATTTCCGATTGCGCTGATTTGTTTTGCCGAGTACTTGTGTTTTACGGAGATATTTGTTTCATCGTGTGACAAGACGTTCAGCGTGCGAGAGAGGTATTGAGCGGGTGACATTCGAGTCGTATCAATGACATACGTAATGTTTCCAATCTTGCTAATTTGGTTTGCCGAGCATTTGTTGCATGAATTTTTAGGTATCGAAGAATTGCTCGTAAAAACGCTTTATTTGCGTTGCTTTTCAGAATAAATTGGATTCGACAAATGTTCTCGGCGCACCTGCGGGTGCATTAAAAGAGTACACTGAAGGTAAACAATTGCATAATGTTAAATATGTAAGCAGCTGTACACGTGAATATCTTTCTTCTTTGAACGCTGAAAGTTGTGTAAACAATCTGAACAGACTGAAACAAGTATCGACTTGTATATTGTCCTTGTACCTAGTTGTTCTAGTACAGTACCTCATTGTCACTCTATCGAAAATTCTGACATAGATAAAGTCATAGTTAAAGGGACACTATATAGCATTTAGCTTCTTGCAGGCTCTATGAGTTTGGTCATAACCCCCTACCACCTACCCCTCAACCCACACACACAGTGGTGACTGACATTGCTTGCGCATGCTATTTGTAACGCTCTGCTCGCAGCACATGCTACTGTATATTTGTCAATGATTTGAGCGACCACATACGTACGATTGTAGTTTTTCCATGGTACGGCCCACTGGACCACACACACACACTAGCAAGCACCTGCAAATGCCCCACGCAGATTGCCTGAGGGCACGTCATGAATGCGATAACCTTTTACGCGAGAGAGTTCAATATATCGTTCGCACTTCTTTTTCAGTCGAAGAGATCGAATTGGTGAGCCACGCACTGACTGCGAGTGAGGGTCAATTGGTCGAGCTACACTCGCCCGCGAACGGTCAAGCGCAGGTCTCGACCGTGTCCACGCCGTTAGCCACGGTCCTCGCGCACGCCAGCGTTCCTCCTCAGCCGTGGATCATGGGCGTCTCCGCGATGCAGAAAGGTAGGTGCAGCGGGTGGGGCGGCAGCCGTTGCTAGAAATCGCTAGAGAGGCCCGGAAACTTCACGTAATGATGGTGATGACTACTATCTGGGCTGTGGTAGTCGATACTCATTAAATTGTGACTATCATGTGTAAATCCTAGTGCTGGTTTGATGACTGCCATGACTGCGGGAAGACGTCGCCCTCAATAATGTGCACGTGTTTGCTGTTTCTACATGTTTACATAGCTGTTACTCTATTGTGCGTTTTTTTTAAGCACCTTCCGTGTGTACATTTCATGTATGGAGTTGTAATTTAACTATGATTGACCACGTAGCTGTAGTAATTCTCCATAGCCTTTGTTCGAGGGTCGTACAAACTACAGGCACACTGAAACTTTCCATTTCATATATCACCCGCTCCAGCAAAACCAGGATTAAGTAGGAAATTCTACAAATTGAGTTATGTGCATATCTGAATAGATAATTTAATTACCTTTAAAATGATATATAATATTTGGCTATATCTAAAGAATTGACCGATCTACAGCAATTTGATTTGTGCGAGCGTGGGTGGGTTGGTGTGTGCACGCGAGCATGGGTTGGTGGTGCGTGGCTGGGTACATGCATGCGTGCGTGAGTGGGTTGGTGCATCTGTGCGTGCGTGGGTGGGTTGGTGTGTGCCCGTGAGCATTGGTGGGTGCGTGGCTGGGTGCTGCGTGGGTGGGTATGTGCATGAGTGTGTGAGCGTGTGAGCATGTGTGAGCGTGCGTACATGCATGCGTGCGTGAGTGGGTTGGTGCATGTGTGAGCATGTGAGAGGGTGCATACATGGGTGATACATCTGGGAAGATGCTTGTATCGGTGTGTGTGTGGAGGTTTGGCTGTAGTTCCGCATTTCCGATTACACATTTATTTCATTTCAGATTCGTTGATTTTGATTGGTAAAGCATGTGTTCATAGTTTTTAATGTCTACATATAGGACGTATATAAGAGCTATGTAATGAGCACTAACTAAAGAAAATTAAACTGACATTATATGTGTGTCATTCTTTCAAGCATTTTATATGGTAAATTAAAGTGACTTATCAATTATCGTGCACTTTTTTTTGAAAACATACAGAAATTTAAATTTGCAAACAACAATAGAACCATTTACTTTTCTGATTGACCTTGATCATTATTCGTTCCTAATTATAATCGGGCACGAAGGACGAGGCTCAAACATTCCAATGACGTACTCGAGTTTCACACGCGCTGCGGCTTCCCACCTGAGTCTTCCGGCTTTGTCCGTAGGTGTTCGACGTAATCCGCGCCAGCAATCGAGCGCTAAGCTACAGTGAGATCGCGAAGAGCACGGGGCAGCTGTGGAGCGAGCTTACGGACGAGGAGAAGAAGCCATACGTAGACGAGTACGAAGAGGAGAAGGTGAGATGCGTGAGATCCGGCGCGCGTCCCACGCGGGTATGGTTGCGTTCGCGAATTGAATGCGTGGGTTCTTTGAATGACGTTTAAGCTCCCCAGCTAGGTACCATTGATGGTGTGTGTCCGTTTGTTTGTGTGTGTGCGTGTGTGTGTGTGTGTGTGTGCGTGCGTGTGTGCGTGTGTGTGTGCGTGCGTGCGCGTGCGTGTGTTTCGTGCGTGCGTGTGCGAGTGTTTTTTTTCTGCAAAGTTGTTACAGCGACCGGGGATGTAACGCTTGTCTCCTACTTTAGATCAAATATGACAACGAAAGGATGCGGATGGGATATAGAGAGTCAGTAGATCCATCCGTTCAGCGGGCTACAAAAACCGTGTGGAGCAGAGAGCACGCAAGACACGCGGTGGTAGCCGGTTCGTTTCCCCACCATGAGAGAAGGTAGCCTGTGCCGATTTCACATGCAGTAATATGCTCCATTTTTCGTAAATGACTTGCCTTCGAATTTGCCAACAACAATTGTGTCTGCTGCCTCGCTATCATTAAGAAATGGGAGATATGAGGCACGCGTACGTAGTCGGTACGAGTATCGGACTAAGGTTACAAAGATGAGTGCACAGCTGCGTGGTGAATTCTATAAAAAATATATATATTATATATAAAGGTTATAGCGCTCTATGTAAAAGGTGCATGCAGATGTTGATGCCGAGTTTTGAGTTCGAATTTTTAATACATGTAAATCATATTCATGTTGCAGTTCGAAATTTCGAATGGCGTCCTTACACGCGCACGACACCTACACAACACACGACAGAGCAACAGCCCACATACACATATTACACACACAAACAACACACACACGCACACGACCAGTAACACACGCCCCCACACCACACAACCGCGCACAGCACACACACACACGCCGCCACCCACCAATACATAACACCAACACACACACGCGCGGGCACACACACGCCGCTGGATACCACACACTAATTGTTATCGACTCGGCAGGGGGTGTGGTCAACTAAGTTCGGCTGTTCATTTTCAAGCACAGCATTGTTTCGCTAATGGCCTTGTCAAGGCTCGAGCCTCAGTATGATATCGGTGGTGTTTTAATTATCACGCACAAACTGCTCTCGTGTATGAGTATATATACACGTGCGGTCCTCTCAGCCGATTGTTCGTAAACACAAAGACACAGGCATTCGGTTAGTGACATTTGTGAGGCAGAAGAATGATAAAGAAGGTAGAGGAAGAGAAAGCGAACCAGAAGAGGAAAAAGGAGAGAGCGGATACAAAGAAGGATGAGCACCGAGCGAAAGATGATGAGAGAGAACCCGAAGAGAGTGTGCGAGCGAGGAGAGTAGGGAGGGAGAGAGAGTGATCAATAAGAGGCGCAGGAGGGTCGACTCAGGATGAAGAGAGAGACCGAGAGAGATAGAAAAAAGAGAAAGCGCGGGGGGGGAGAATGATGCGAATACGAGACGGTGAAAAAGGGCGAATGAAATACAGAGAGGGAGGACAAGATACAAGGTAAAAGCAAAAGAGAAAGAGACGAAAAATAGAGTCCTCAATCGTCAGTAAGAGCAACTCGAAGCACCAAGCGGCGACATACCTAACTGCAAACCGACGCCTCTCAGCCCACGAGGCCTCCACAGGTTTTGCATTGCGCACGCCTCGCAATGAAGTTAACGCGGTGCATTTTAGAGTTAGCCGCTAGCCAAAGAACGTCAAGGCGGCGAAAGAGAAAGAGACGAAAAATAAAGATGGATCCGACAATGAGAGCAAGGCAACAGTACACTCGAAGCACCCGCGGGAACATCATATAATGCACCAGCGCCTCTGCACACACAGCCTTCACAGGTTTCAATCGCAAACGTCGCATGAAAGTTAACTGCGGGTCATTTTTAAAGTTAGGGCCGCTAGCCAACAGAACGTGCAAGTGCGAAAGAGAAAAGAGACGAACAATACAAGATGATGCGACAATGAAGAGCAGGGCAACAGTAACTCGAAGCACGCCTGCGGGACATCATACATGCAGGCCACCCTCTCACCCACGAGCCTACACAGGTCCCTAATCGCGACGCTCGCATGAACAGTTAACCGCGGTCATCTTATCTGGGTATGTGCGTGTTCACTTTATGACTTTTATTTCTTTAAATTTAAATCTAATTAATTATTCATGGATGTTTGTCGTAAGCGGTCCAAGAGAAATACCGGATAATTGAAATGGTACAGAGCACGACGTTTACCATGAAAGACATAATAGCAATGCTGCCGCCGCCGAATCAATGTCGCCCGCTGAGGCCGTGCTCGCTACCTAGTAATTATACGTATTACTATATATATATTACTATATAAATAATTAATATATATATATATAGATAAATAAATATATATATATATACCATATATCCCCTCCGCGAGTGGCTAGTGTGACAAAATGATCTGCATCTTCGAAGTGCTGTTTATCCCTTATACAATACATGCAAACTGTAGCTACTAGGTCCTCTGTCCAGCATCCCAAATGAATGACCGCGAATAGGATGACCACGCTATAAATAATTGTTTTTCACATTATCCATATTTGGTCATATACAAGTTTACAATGCTTTCGATAAATAAAGAGCCACAACACCCAAACCACACCACAGCGACACACACACACACCCCCACCACACGACCTACACACACCACACGACACACACACACAACAGCACACAACACACAATACAAATACACCGAAGCGCCTACCAAAATTAACTTCTGCTCAGTTATGTGTCGACGTTGATGTGTTATAATACGTTGTCCAGTTGGCAGACCACCAAACAGCGGCGTCAATCAAAATGGTAGTGAATCCGGCTGGTTAACAAGTGGTCAGGCAACGCGGAAACCACATGCAAATTGGCTGGCGAAATAGATCTGAGGTGTTCAACAAACGCTATCCGGCAGACGGCGTCTTATTTCGTCAATATAGTAATTTTCT